CATAACTATAGAGATAGCTCAGGATAACCTGAGCCACTCTAACTATAAGCTTTATCAAAAAAGAAAGTTTTAAGCCTAGTCTTGAAAGATAAGTTCTCTACAAACAATAAAAGTTAAAGCTGGCTTATCATATTCAAATATAAAATCTCTCTGGAGAAACTTTGAGACTGAGAAGGAAAAAGCATCAGGAATAAATAATGTTTAAATTAAGCTGTATCACATTTTAGATAACAGCGAGTGTTTTATAGTTACTGTAGATAAGTTAAATTCTATTCTGGATTTAACAGGAAGCTTTGGTTCCTTTAAAATTGAAAATCATGTCTCTATTTTTATTAACAATGTAAGGTATAGAAGGTACAGATACTTGTGTGAAAATATAATGAAGAAAAAAAAGGTAAAAAGCTGATTGAAAAGTTAAAAAGTTAATAATTCTATTTAACAATTATATTGAGGTTTATAAACTAAAAAATATAAGTTCCAGTATCAGCATTAATGTCTCTAAGGTTATGCTGGACCAAAAGAAAAGTTGTTTCATTCATGAATTTCTTATAGAAGTACTTTTGTTATTTTTCTTAATATATCCGGGGACATTGATATTCATTTTTGCCATGAAAATATCAACATTTTTGTAATGTTACAAAGGTATTAAGGTCTTGTCCTGGATTCCAATAACACTATTGGCTTGAAATTTGGATTTTCAAAGGATTTCACTTAGTGACTTATAAAGGGTTAGTGGTATTCCTTCATTCAAATCATGTCCAAAGGGATATTTCACCCTCAAAAAGCAACAGGTTCACATAGAGCAGGTGTGACCTTTTTATTCATTTAATCCAGGGGTCTTCAACATTTTCCAAGGACCCCCAAACTGATGGCAATGCAGCGGGGACAATTATACAATTATATATATTGTATGAAATTGTGTTCTATCAAACTGGTCCTATAGTCACTCTATTAGATGGAGTAATGTAACTAAAGTAATTTCTCTCTGGGATTAATAAAGTATTTCTGATTCCTCATTGATGGGACAGGTGTTGTGAATGAAACGGTGCCCAGCTTGAAAGAGCTCCTGTGTGTCTCTGAATGTGAGCATTGATGACTGAAAGACATCTTCTGCCTCCATTTATCTGTTTACTACAGTGTGTTGAATTCATGTAATGTGGATTTAAATACATTTTTCAAAGTATTTTACTGAGGTCCCTGTAAAGGGTTAAGGATCAAATATAGATGAGAATAGAGATTTTAACTTTCTATCAGCTGTTGTAAAACCTCCTCCTTCAGCAGCACAACTTTGGAAACTAGGGGGGGAGAAAAAAAGGAAAACAGATTGTTCATCTCGCGATAGCAGCTCGCTGAAGCCGCCGCCATATTCTGTGACAGTATTTTGATTCGTATCTGCTGGAAGTGAGGAAAAAGAGAAAAGTGAAGGGCTGCAGAGGGGAGGGGGGGCTGTCACTAAGTTATCCAGGAGTCTGTGTCAAACAGCGGAGGGCCGCGGCTCGGTTCGCCTCCGCTTCTAGCTGCTTCGAGAACACGGGCCCCGGGGCCTCGGTGCTGCGGCGCTCCGGACCCCTAACGGCTTCTCCCCTCCAAGCTCCGCGGCCCTTCGGAGGTCCGGCGGCGGTTACAGACGGCCCGGGAAGCGGCGGAGGAGACTGGGAGGTAGGCTCCGGACTTTTCCATTTAGTGTCGTTTTTTTTTTCTTTCTTTTCTTTTCTTTTCTTTTTTTTTCTGGAGGAGAAAACAAGCCGAGCGGCTTTAACGGCAGCTCCTGTTACGCACGAGCCGCAGAAGAAAAGTTTGATCTGTGGAAAAACTTTTTGTCTCCAAAGCTAGCAGGGCTGCTAACTGTGAGGCTTTACAGGCTGCCGCCGGAAAGAAAACACTAAAAACATTTTAAACCGTTTCCCCCCCAACTTTAACTCTACTGTTAATGGCTGAAAGCGGTAATTATTAGAGTATTACATGTTTAGCAGCTCATGTTAGCCCACAACACTTTTTCCATTGAGCTCTCTGCTGAAAACTAGCAGAAATTAGTCAAGAAGGAAAAGTTTAATCATAATAATTGGGTGTTTTGTTAACATATCAAATAGCTGTTTTTTCTCCTTAAAACAGTGATGTAAATTATATATATACTTATATGTAGAGAATTTTAATGGATTATTTACTTAAATATTGATATTACAGGCTGGGCTTTGATAGGCTGCTTATTGCAGTGATGTTTTATTTATTTAATTAAGTTATTCTTACAGTTTTAGTGTTTATTTTTCTTAATATAATGAAATTAGAACATATAACTGTAATTATATTAATTATTGCTAAACAACATTATATATTATGAGTGATCCATTAAGCTGGTGAAGGTTGTCAGTCATCCCGGTCATACTCATTCCAGAAAATAAAACAACCTCCTGGACTTTATTTCCAAGTTTGAAGACGTTTCTCTTCCCATCCAGGAACCTTTTTCAGTTCAAAATGTCAGGAATAGCTTTGAGTTTGAGCTTTTATACAGTAGCCCAACTCGGAAACCAAGTCCAGTTTGGAATGAGATTAACAAGATATTTTTGATTTTGATTTTCAGGCTTTTCTATGTTTAAAAAAAAACAACTTTATTTTTATTTTTTTATTTTTTTTTAGAAAAAGTTTTAAACGTCTAGCTGTAAATCTGAGGCAAAGAGGAAGAATTAGTAGGTCTTCATCCTTTGAGAATAATCCACTGATGTGGCACAGTGAAACAACCCCACAGCATAATGCTCCCTCCACCTTGCTTTATAGTAGATGCAGTTTCTTCTTCACTCATCTACACATGTATATTTTTTTCAGGAGTTCTCTGTATCACTCATTAATCTGTGGCCCAAAGGCCAATTTATGCTTTTGACAGCGTCAAATCTGTTTCTGTACGCGACCACGCCCCCTGCACAGAGGTTCTGCAACCGTCGTTGCGGACCTCAAAAAAATCCTGACAACGCATGGGACGATCGATATAAACCCACGCAGACCTCAAGCGGAAGTGTGCAGAGAAAAAGCAGCTGTGATTGGTCCTTGGTATTCCTTTCCGGCTGTCTGTGTGGTCGTCCTTCTCGATTTGGTGCCAGGGCGTGCTATTTCTAAAAACCGAGGAACAACTACAATGGACAACCTAAGTGTCCTCCTTTGTCTTTTTGCCAACTCCATTAACAGAACCTGTTCCTCTTCGATATCTAGTAACTCTAGATCCATCTCTGTGACGGTGATATCTTGCAGACGCGCCATTGTTGTTTTGGAAGATAAACACTACAGCTGGCGCTGCTGAAGTACTCATGACCATACGCCGAAGTTCTTGCGCATTCTCGAATAGGCTCCCTCTTGCGCTTTGACAGAAAACTGCTGTGCATCCCTAGAAATTCCAGACCGACGGTGCAGAAGCATACCAGCAAAACTGTTTAGCGACCAGACCCAAGCGACATTTGATGTGTGTGGTTGCAGAAGTACAATCTGCCCTTTAAGCGCTGATGTTGTGATTACGATATGTCCTGCAGCCCAAAACTCCAGCATCTATTATAAGAAGGGTGATTGTTTAGCTTTGATGTCCTTTTGTGGATTAGAGGGAATCCTACAATAAATTCAAAATGGAGCAAACAAATGTTTAAAAACAAACCAACATTGATGTTAAATAATTCATGGGTTTAAATAGAGCAATAAAAGCCGTAAAGTACCACGGCATTGCCACCTATAAACTTCTGACCACTTCTCTCATAAAACACTCTGAGAAGTTAAGAAAATAAATTTGTTTGTGTTGCACAGCTTTTTTTTTTTTTTTTTTCTCCGAGGTAATAAACTGGATGGGATGGGTAGAAGAGTTCAGAGTTTATAACCTGTGTTTTCTGTCTGTGTGACAGTTATGATGTAGGCTTTGGTCTGGGCTGATATGTCGTTGTTAAGAGGATCCATTTGGCCGGAGATAACCGGACAGGAGAAACACGACGTGTTTGAAGCCACTAAAAGTGTCCTGATAGAGAAAACTAACATATACTTTTTTTTTTTTTTGGGGGGGGTGGGGCGGTGTTATGTTTGTTTTTCTGATTTAGTTTGATGGGAAAAATATAATAGATAAACACTTTCTTGGCATGGCAGTAAAGTGTTTGGGTTGGAATTGTCTGCTCTTTTTGAGCATCCAAGTCGATATGGCCATGGTGCATTTAATTCCCTCTCCGGGTATCCGTAAACCAGGCTTTCCTTCGGCAGAGCTCTGCTGACCCTTTGATTTTCCTTACTCTGATTAGATTCAGACTTCCTTAGGAGCAGAAAGTCGCTTCTCTCCTGAGCTCCAAATGCGTCCGATCCAAACCTGCGCTATCGGCTACACTGTGAGAGTCATTCATTAGCAGTTTTTGCCTGTCTTGACTTGCAGTCAACACTGCACTTCCTGACCAAAAAACTGCCATGGTCGACTGTTTATAGGTGCAGACCCCTAACTGAAACCATGTGTGCCTGTAGCTGGGCAAACATGTTGCCAGGAGACCTCGCTGGTTTGCCACTCTGCAGAGATCCTGCAGGAGCTGTTCAGAGCTTTATGATAAGTGCTAAATCAGGATTCTTGTGCAGAAGTGTGTGTGTTGGGGGCGGTTCACTTATTGCTTTTATTTTGATGTTGGGGGGGGGGTAATCTGCTGCTATGGTAAAAACTTTTAAGAGAAATATGCAAATCAGTTAAAGAAGGGCTTCATTGTTTTGTGCTCGTCGTTTCTTCATATAGATGTGAGGAATCCGCCTTTCTTTGGAGCAGTAAACAGACTGGATCCAGAGAGGAACCCAGTTTATGGCTTGTTGTGGTGCCAGGAGTCAGGAAAACGGGTTTCATCTGAAAGAACAACTATTTATCCTTCCTGGGTTCCACATTGTGCGATCCATAAAAAAACCCAAATGGAAACTCGTTCTTTTTCTTTCATTATGGGTTATGAGAGTCCTTGGTGTGAGTAGAGACTTGTTAACCCCGGAAAACCATTTCATATCAGTTTCCCTCTAAGGCTGCAGATACAGGTTTAGTGTGTTTCCAGCTAAGGTCGGTCACATGACCTCCCAGACTGCTTGGAGCTCGCTCTGTTTGACAGATAAGGTTTTAAAGACGCTGTGTTTCCTCTCAAATGACACTAAGGTGTCACTTTGGGTAGACTTGTGAGGATAAGTTCTTATCAGGTAGGTAGAGGGTGGCCTGGATCCATCACATGCTGATTCAGGAAGAGGGCTCAGTGTTTTTTACCCCCCACCCCCTCCTGACTGTGTGGCTGTTAGAAAAGAGGCTCCTGTTGGAGCCCCCTCCCCCTGCCCACTTCTTCACTTTAAAAGGAGGCTTCCATTACACGCTGCTCGGGCCTTATGGTTGGTGCAGGGCCTATAATGTATCGGCTGGTACAGACGCCACTTAAAGCAGGACTCAGTGATATGAAACTATTAAAGAGATTAATTGATTATTAAAAGCAAGTAATTATGTTATCGAGTAGTTACCTAGACTGTTGGTGCACAAACTGTAAAACACCACATTTTCTAAAGTAGTAATCACTCACAGCAGGAAACAATGTATATATTTTTCAATTTATATAAGGGCTGAAACAATTGGATTAATCATGATTAATCGATTTTTGACATAAAAGTCAACTCATTTAGTAATCGATTAATCGTTAACTGGAGAGTAGAGGCTGTAAAACATGCCTTTGGCTGACAGAGCGACCCATCTAGAGCAGTAATTATACCAAATTTGTGAAAGAAATAACAAAACATTTCACATTTGCAGTTAAAGAAAAATCCTTTTTTCTTCAATATGCTCCATCCAGCACTCTTCAAATGGAAAACTTTTAGTTTCAGTTCGTAAGAAAATCTTCCTTTGCTTTCAAATTATTTATCGATTAATCAAAAAAATTCACGGTTTCGTGGTCACAGTTTTTGGTTCCGTTCGGTATATGTTTATTGTTACACCAAAAAAATAATAAAAATTATAAAAATTTATGAAAAAATAAAAATGTATTAAATGAATGAAAAAAATCCAAAAAAATTAATGAATTGTAATTATTTTTAATGATCCGCAGAAACCCTGGATCATTTCCGCATGTTTTGCTGCTTTGAATTGAATCATCTCGCGCATGCTCTCTAGGATCTCCAAGGGACTCAGAGCGGAGCAGGCGGGAGCCACAGTGGGGGCTGTAGGCTTTGCTTTGAGCAGCCGGTCTGGAGCGCAGCAGGGCGGAGCGGAGGGGAGCGCTGATGGAGTATAAGGGATTTCAGGGTTAGCCTGACATGTTGGTCATGTTGCTGTTAGCATAAACAAAACGTGTTGCACAATGCTTGCACTGCTTCGCTTCTTCTCCTTGTTTACTACTGGTGGTTGGCTTTGGTCACAGTACCGCCACCTTCTGCTCTGGAGTGTACACGCTTCACGTATGAGAAAAAGGAGCAGCGCATGAACCGAACGCAGCACACGCGAACCGAACCGAGTCAGTCGAACCGAACGGTTCGGACGGTTTATGAAAACCGTCCCATCCCTAATATGTAAGTTTTCATGTGTATGTAAATTGTATATTTTTCACGTTTTTGCAACTTACTATTCATATGAAATGCAGGATTACACATTTTTATTTCCACATTCCAGGGTAACTTATGTTAAATTACTAGAATTATTGATTTTTTGA